GTAACACCAAACTGTACAAGTAACACCAAACTGTACAAGTACAAGTAACACCAAACTGTACACGTACAACTAACACCAAACTGTACAAGTAACACCAAACTGTACACGTACAAGTAACACCAAACTGTACAAGTAACACCAAACTGTACAAGTAACACCCAGCTGTACATGTACAAGTAACATAAGCGACCCGATGAGAACAACTGTAACTTAACGTTGGGGGAGGGGAGGGGAAGGTGGATTTATGGGGGGTTCCCCACCCTTACATAGACCACTTACTGACTGGCATGTGATTTTTTTGTATAGTTACTTGCCCTTTAAATTATAAACATTCACTTACAGTAGCCCACTCATAATGATTCGAATTGCTTTAAAAGAAAAAGCAACACCAAAAGTGTAATTTTTGCCTTAATTACATCATGTTATAGAAATTATCTTTTCATTTGAATCTTTTTACTGAAGGTACGGATTTACATCCTGATATATATATATATATATATATATATATATATATATATATATATATATATATATATATATATATATATATATATATATATATATATATATATATATATATATATATATATATATATATACGCGATACACACTTCCTGGGTTGACCTACAAGACGTTAACGTTAAACTGCTTTGCCTTCATTGAGGTGGAAATCCAGTTCACTTTTCTTCCTGCTCCCCCTACCTGTATGCTTAATGGTAGCTCCCAACGACACGAGGCTTACAAGCCACATGATACCAATAAGGAAACAAAACCGCCTGAAACAAAGAAGTTTTGCCATCATATTTCACCGCCATTCCTCTCGTGTTTTTTTGCCATCTTGATTCCATTAGCTTCTCTCAGGAAGGACGAATGCGAAATGGCGTATCGATAACGCTTTAGAGATGCTTAGAACGATACTAAAACAGCAAAAGTAAATCGAACACTATAAGATCTAGGGGTAATTTTTTTTTGCGGGGGGGGGGGGGGGGGGGGGGGTTCAGATGCAAACCTTTTTACTTCATAAAACAGAGATTTAAGGGGAAAAAAAATCTTTGGTTATTAATCTTGAGCAGATAATTGCATGAGCCATATCAACACAAAACTAGACGTGAACCATATCAACACAACTAGACGTGAACCCTATCAACACAACTAGACGTGAACCCTATCAACACAACTAGACGTGAACCCTATCAACACAACTAGACGTGAACCCTATCAACACAACTAGACGTGAACCCTATCAACACAACTAGACGTGAACCCTATCAACACAACTAGACGTGAACCCTATCAACACAACTAGACGTGAACCCTATCAACACAACTAGACGTGAACCCTATCAACACAACTAGACGTGAACCCTATCAACACAACTAAACGTGAACCCTATCAACACAACTAGACGTGAACCCTATCAACACAACTAGACGTGAACCCTATCAACACAACTAGACGTGAACCCTATCAACACAACTAGACGTGAACCCTATCAACACAACTAGACGTGAACCCTATCAACACAACTAGACGTGAACCCTATCAACACAACTAGACGTGAACCCTATCAACATAACTATGCGGTCACTAAGTGCTTACATCGTCTTGAAGCTTGAAACAAGTTGTGGTCAAAATATCATTTCTCTGTCAAAGTTCATTTGCCAGTTGCTGGTGCTTTCTCTCCCTCTCTCCCTCTCTCCCTCTCTCCCTCGCTTCTCCCTCTCCGAGCTTACTGAAAACACCGCCACAAATATTCACAGCACTAAAGATATTTAATTTTGTTATAAACAAAGGTTAAAGTTGAATGTTTGAATCAATTGCTATCTTTAATGAATCAGCTGATGAAACAATACTATCTGCCAAATATGTTTTCATAAAGAGACAAATAAAACTGAGACTGGCCAAATTTGGTATCGCTTCTTGCTCGCAGTCACTGCTATATGACGTAGTACATAGAACCTAGAAGACGTAGATACTCTCCACAGCAGATATGAAGGTATGATGATTGGAACGACACTAGTCTCAGCTCAGCTCCGACAAACACGTAGTTTTTTTCCCAGTGTGTATCCATCTCCCCCCCCCCCCCCTCCCCCACTTTTTTTGTTTCTCAGGCAACCAATTATGAAAACAATATAAGACATCTCTTGGTCTTTGTCTAGCTATTTGTGGCTAAGGGGGAAATACCTCCATGGCATCAGCTGTTTTCTATTAAGACAGTGATGAATAGTGCGTGGTACTTGCGTTGGCTACACACGCCAACAGTTATCTAACATCAGCGGCTCGCGGGACCATTGCCTATTTCGTTTATTACATCGTCTAGATAGCCCACTGGAAACAAAGTATTAACGCCAGATTTTACAATCTGTGCTGGTCTTTATCTACTACAATAGTTGTTTCAATTATTTGTTTTTAGTAGCTTGACTTGAAATAATTATGTTGGCCTATAGCTGACCCCTATAAGCTGGAGTAAATCTCCCCTAAACTTTCTCTAAGTTCGTCCATAATACTAAGGAGGATCGGACTTTGGGCAAAAGAAATAAAGACGTTAGTGACAAAACCGCTCATTGTTTTTTTTACTTTCTCGTATATACAAAGTATACAGAAAGTCTTGTAATCGTTTTACACCTCACTGATACAGAAAAACGTAATTTTGCAATCTTGTCGTATGTCTGTGTGTATGTGTGAGTGTGTGTGTCTGTAAACATGATAACTTGAGTATCGTTACAGCTAGGTTGATGAAATTTCATATATAAGTATTTTATCAAAATCGTAGATCCGTATAAACGTTTGAGCGATTTCCGATAACCGGAAATAATACTTTTTTATTTTGAATTTTTTAAAAGTCTATAGCTTGAGTAATATTTCAGATAGATAAATGACATTTCACACTTAAGTAAAAGATCTAATTCTCTACCTTCTGTTAAATTTTGAGCAATTTCCGTTGACCGGAAGTAGTAATTTACGCTATTTCCGATTTCTCAAAAAACTAATGTAAATTTATAAAGTACTAATAATATTCCGCACTATTATGCACATTTTATTTGGCGTTCACTGGTGTGCAATTCTTTTTTCTACGAGATTTTATTCTATTTTTTAAAGTTTAAGTATTTAAAATGGATTAAAATTCATGTCTATATCCCGAGTTCCCATCCCCTGTTTTTTTTATATAAGAATATTTGAGAAAGTTTAGGGGAGATCACTCCCGGTTTATTTTTTATTGAGAAAACACATATAGTTAAAAAAAAACTAAATATCTTTGAGAAATTGAAAATAGAGCAAATACCCCATTATAAAGCACTAATTTTTCGATTATTATACACAATTTAAATAGAATAGAATTTTGTAGAAAATAGAATTGCACACCAAAAGTAATGTAAAATTATTAAATTCTTATGTGTTTTTTTTATTTAAGAAATCGGAAATAGCGTAAAGTACTCCTTACGGTCACAGGAAATCACTTAAAATTTGACAGATTCAAGAGAATATGATCTTATACCTTTGTATGAAATTATGTCTGCCTAATTGGAACGGTACTCAAACTATGGGTATTTTAAAAACTTGAAAAAGAATAAAGTACCACTTCCATGTATATGATTTTTTGGCTTATTTATGAACTTTCGTCTACCATACCTAACCAGTACTTAGGTTTCTCATGAAAATAGAGTAAAGTGCCTCTTCAGCTATCCGGAAATTGTTCAAACGTTGAAAGAAACCTTTACATACATTGTTATACTTACACGTGAAAGTTCGTTCACCTAACTTAAGTTGTAGATACTCTAGTCATTGGTTTTGAGAAACCGGATTTAGAATAAGTACACTTCTGGTTACCGGAAATCGCTCAAACGTTGATAGAAAAATACAAATTGGATATAATATACACAAATAAAATTTTGTCAACCAAACTAAAACGGGACTCAAATTATCGCGTTTACACACACACAAACACACAAACACACAGAGAGAGAGAGAGAGAGAGAGAGAGAGAGAGATAGCAAAAACTAAGTTTATTTTTCGGCCTTAAAAGGTTTCAAAATGCCAAACTTTGTCAAAATCTCGATTTAGATTTTTGCACATTACAAAAACCCGTATACGATAAATTAGGGTGTAAGACAGTGAAAACTGTCAAAATATGTGTGTTAATTATTCAGCACGATTACAATACTTTCTCTATTTCTCTGTAAATGAGAAAGTAAAATGAACGGCCTATAACGTACCACTATCATTTAATAATGTAGGTCTATAGCTTACAACTATACAAAAAATGTAGGTCTATAGCGTACCGGTTAAAAATTTCAACGCAGACCTACAATATCTTTTACCTCCCTAGGGTGTAGCAATTTTGTAAATCTGTAAAAAGATGTGTTAATATATTCTCATAAATTATGTAGGCCTTTATTCAACGGTGTGTTAAATATATTACATAAGTAATTTCATTTGATGATATTCTGTCAGTGTACGGCTACTTAAACTATGCAATACCTTATTACGTTTGTGTAAGAAATGTATACAAGTCCGTTTTCAATTATTTTTCAGTCCACTTGTAGGAAGTCTGTATTTAGCCCACATGTTTAAAGTCTGTATTTAGCTCACATGTTTAAAGTCTGTATTTAGCCCACATGTTTCAAGTCTGTATTTAGCCCACATGTTTCAAGTCTGTATTTAGCTCACATGTTTAAAGTCTGTATTTAGCTCACATGTTTCAAGTCTGTATTTAGCCCACATGTTTCAAGTCTGTATTTAGCCCACATGTTTCAAGTCTGTATTTAGCCCACATGTTTCAAGTCTGTATTTAGCTCACATGTTTCAAGTCTGTATTTAGCCCACATGTTTCAAGTCTGTATTTAGCCCACATGTTTCAAGTCTGTATTTAGCTCACATGTTTAAAGTCTGTATTTAGCTCACATGTTTCAAGTCTGTATTTAGCTCACATGTTTAAAGTCTGTATTTAGAATGTCTGTATTGAGCCAGACGCGATGATTGTTTCTCAATGTTTCCACAGTTACCCCACCCAGTACGTCTACCCAGCATCCTACCTAGCAGCAGCAGCAACAACTCCTGGTATGCTCACGACAATGCCAGCCACAAGCCCACTGTCACCAACCCCTGCCGGTAACTTTATATGCACCTCAATAACAGAATACACCATTTTATGACGGAAACAATTTTCTTCATAATAATTCATAGACAGGCACCACTCGTAGCATTACTTGATTAATACTTCTTCGCGTGTTGTCCATTAAATATCCCTTGCCTGGTAGGTGTAGTGGAGGGGTGCAGAAGGGGGAGCTCAAATGGTATTTCCCGTTGGCAGTTTTATTTTATTCTTAAGCAATTAAAAACACATACTCCCTCATGCTTCAAAGGACCCCTCCCTTCCAACCCCCGAAAGTAGGTCAAACCAACTTTATTGTTGCAAGTTATTCTTCAATTATCCTTGACCCATTGTATCAACATATTTTCAGTATATGGCTAATAGAGGAATAAATCTATAGGCCCACCAGAAGGTTCTTGTGGGATCACGCTTGTACTGACCATAAAAACAGGCAGAAAAACCTGAAGGATATAAACAAGCAAAGAAGCGGCAGAAGTTCTAAGCCATTATGACTTTTAAAAGAATAAAAGCATTGGAACAAAATATTTCTTTATACGCAAATAGCGATTTATATTCAACCTTCTAATTAGCAAATTCTGAGAAGGTACATCAGTAAACTAAACGCTACTTCAGATACTACGCAAGGTGACAGCAAGCTGGGGGGGGGGGGTGCTACCATGGGCTTGGGGTGGGTAGGGAATAGGTAATTGTACTGAGGGATTCGAGGGACGGGTAATAACAGTGGGTAATGTCTTAGACCCGCACTTATCATACGTAACATTATTTTAAGCTCAGTTGCAAACATATAGTATACATATAGTACACATATAGTATACATAAAGTATACTACATGTCTAGAATTTTTTTTCCAGTAAGTAGGCCCTAAGTAGTCCCCCCTCCCATACATGTTCTGATAAAATGAACTTGACCACATTGTGGCGGGTTTTTGTTGTTGTTGACTTGTATAATATACATGTCTCAAGTATAAAACAGTGTAAGTGGTATCAGTTGGCCTGCAAACGATTACATATGGTTCTCGCGCAGAGTATATTCATATACTCATATTTTCTCTTTTTCTTTTTGGTGCATTAACATAAACTAGAGTAGGCTAATTAACACAAACTAGAGTAGGCTAATTAACATAAACTAGAGTAGGCTAATTAACATAAACTAGAGTAGGCTAATTAACATAAACTAGAGTAGGCTGATTAACATAAACTAGAGTAGGCTAATTAACATAAACTAGAGTAGGCTAATTAACACAAACTAGAGAAGGCTAATTAACACAAACTAGAGAAGGCTAATTAACATAAACTAGAGTAGGCTAATTAACATAAACTAGAGTAGGCTAATTAACATAAACTAGAGTAGGCTAATTAACATAAACTAGAGTAGGCTAATTAACATAAACTAGAGTAGGCTATTTGTCGCGTGCGCGGCGATCTCATAAGAAATACTAATATGAAAACAAACAAAACACGTTTTATGAAATGCCCAAGCTGATTTAGCTGAGTTAGTGACTTAAATAATTCATTTAAAATCCAGTTTTAGCTCACTTATTTTTATTAATTTATTGGCGACTAATCATCAGAGTTTCTTCCAGGCATCTCTTCGGGGAAAGTCTACCCTTACCCCTCCCCTGAAAATATCAAGTGCTCCGCGGAGAAAAAGTCTGAAAGAAACACTGTTAAACATCTATTGATGTTCCTTTAAGTTTTCTTCATATTCTAGAATTGTCAATATCGAAAATATATAATATGGTTGGAACTAAATAGAAATAGCAAATAAAAGTATCATTAAAGCTATAGCTGCAAAATAGTAATGCGTGTGTGACATATTGATAGTTTGGCGTAGGATAAGTCGGGGAACAAACTAGACTAGATGTGTTAGAGTGAACTCATTTTTAGACGCATACTCAACCATGCTATCACTAAACTTTTAAAGGAAACTTCGAACACATGCCTAAGTTAAGATTAATCCCAGAGGCGTAGCGAGGAGGGGGGCGGGGGTGTGGACCCCACCGGTTGACACCATTTAGGTGGGAGTGAAACCAGGGCAAAAAAATTGCAAACTATAGAGAAAACAATTCTACATCCAACTGTATTATTTACAGACCTTAGATAAACATCGTTACTATTAAGCCTGCAGTGATTAAAGCATATGCACATACATGCACGCGTATGTGGCATACATTTACATTATAAGGCGACACACACAAAGAGCATTATATATATATATATATATATATATATATATATATATATATATATATATATATATATATATATATATATATATATATAATATACTTTGTTTCTTGGGGGGGGAGGGGGGGTGACACCACGATTAATCCTAATCTTGGGAAATCATCAATGGTTATAATTAAAATTATTTCCTATCAATTTGATGTTGTCAACAGGTACACCCACCCAGTATGCCCTGGACTACGCCTCTGCTTATTCTGCCGCTACTGCTGCCCAGTTTGCTGCTAGTGGTTATGAGACCTATAACCCTTACACGACAGCTGCTACAACTGCTGGTTTTGGCGTGGGAGTCCCTGCTGGCTACACTTACGCCATGCCACAACAGATTGCTGCAAGCACAACACACTTTGCCCAGTATCAACCTCAGCAAATACAAGAAAGACTGCAATAAAATGTTTTTTTTCAATTTGAAAATAGCATTCTTTTCATGAGATTTTATTTATGGATATAACTAACATGGCTTAAACTAAAAATAAACTAAATACTTATATATATATATATATATATATATATATATATATATATATATATATATATATATATATATATATATATATATATATATATAAACCCAAATAAATACATAATTTATGCTATGAATCAAAGTTGATCTAACTTATTTTAATTGTATGTTGTTTTTTACCATAAATCACTGAGGTTTTTCAATGATTATATGATTTGATGTGCAGTTAAATGCAAAACATGAGACGTAATTCAGTAATAAAGCAAAAGAGGCTAATAGGGCTCATTTGGATGAAGGATGCTTTAACAAGAAACTATCTGATTTTAAAGCAGCAAAGGCTAAGGATAGATAGATGGATAAAAAATTTCATAACACATTTTTTAGCTTTATTTCTATAGCCTATTAAGTCAGTAAAGCATAGTATGAAACAAATACCTCAATGCAATTTAATAAAAATTCATTTACAGTAAGTTCTCATTTGATAATAATAAGTTATAATCTGATACTTTGTATATTAAAAGTTGTTGCATAGATTTATACTCTTTAATTTATTTGATATACAATATACATATCTTTATATGTGAAGAAAAATAGTATTTATTATAGAACTTGTGATGAAATAATTTATCAGGTTAAAAAATTCTTAATTTATCCAAAATGCTATTTATTTAAATTTTCCCCCTACATAATGATATTGTATAATACTTTTATATATATAACTATATATATATATATATATTTGTTATGCAATTAAATGCTATTGACAGTTATTCTAATAATTGTACTCCAAAATGGAACAGTATTATTATGAAATTATTTGTCACATCATACTGTTTCCATACTACATTGTTTATTAACTATTAGTTTACAATTAATTTAATATTAATAAGTAAATCAATTATTATCATATTTATAATATTTTATTATAGAAATTCAATGAAAAACAATGAAAGATTCATCACCATATCATTAACTTTGTTAACACATACTATCAGTTATAATTTATTTATGTGTTCATTTGTTTTATATGCCATCTTTGAAATGTGTAGCTAAGTATTTAAACAGTTTATTTTCTATAACCTTCTTGACTGTAAAAATACATCTTAACCGTCCACACAGCGTTCTATAATTTTTTATTAAAAATGCATCAGTTATACAATACTTCCTAATTTTATGTGGGGCCTTATTTGATTAAAAAATGTCTTTGATAATCAACATGCAAATTATGCATTAAAATAATTCAATCCATTTTTAAACTGCTCATTTTGACTGTTTTCAACAGATATTTTTTTTTTACTATAAGCGGAACTTTTTAATTAAAATATGGGGGAAACACAGTGGTAAGTTGGTTCAGGATTATATATGATCATGTCATTTGTTCACAATATTCTATATTTTTATTTAGATGGGCTTATCACCCCCCATCTTGTACAAAGTAAATATAAAGTAGCATCATGTAATAGGCATTTCATTATTCTTTCAGCCATACCTTGATGTTACAAATGTAAAATGAATTTCATACACTTTTTTAAAAATTGTTTTTTAATGTCACATGAAAAGTTGCTTCTATGAGTTAATTTAAGTAAAAAAAAAGACTAAAAATAAATTTTGTATTAACATCCAAGATGTTGCTTTCATAACTGTATTCAACTTAATAGAGGATACTTTCACAAGTAAGAAATTAATAGAGAATTATTATTTGTTTAACACTTTAATATTTTTCCTGTTTTTAAACAAGAAAATATACTGTTGCCTGGTAGGAAAGTGCTTTTTGTGGGTTTGATTTTAAAAGCTTGTTTCTAGTTTTATATCTTAAGGAAACTTTATAAAAAATATTCTGTAATATATTATTTAAAAAAACAAACAGTTGAAGCAACTGTAATTTGATCCAAAAAGTAAAAAAATGACGACTTGACCCAACAACAAATACCTATTTTATTCTATTGTCCATATTTATTTTTGCCAGATGAGACAATACTTAATTTTGAATGTACATTGAGAAATTTTTTATGTTATTTCGTTTCTTAACTTTATTTATTTAACTTTATATAATGAAGTGAGAATCATTAGTGTGCAGTCTTTTCAAGTGATGGAAAGTGAGGGGACTGTATGGATGAAATCCCAACTGAACATAAATCTTTCCTTTATACATACATGCTGATTCCTACTATTATTTACAATCTCAAATAAAAGATTATATTTTATTAAATTTAAGTTTATACATTTTCATATAAAATAATGTTGTACATATATATTTGTTGAACACAAAGAGTTTCTATATTGATGCTTATTTTGATAATAATTTATAAAATAGTAGTATTTGTGATTCATGTTCTGGGAAATATAGCTTGCCATATGTTTTTAGGATACCTAAAAAGAAATTCTATATTTTAATAAAAATAGTGATAATGATCAATTTTAACAAAATATGTTTCAATTATTAATAGCTGAATTTTGTTTTTTGGAGATTTATTTGTTTTTTATGTAAACATTAAAAAGTCATTTTGACATACTTTTCAAGGCAGTTTAGCTTTGCATTAGAACAAGTAGATTGTAATTTTGCTTTATTCATCATGATCATACAACCTGGTAAAGTAGAACCTAATCATGTTCATATTTTCATGACATTCGTTTTCATGTATTATTTTCATGAATTTTTTTCCACTTCATAATTAACAATATAAATCATGTACCAAATTTTTATGACAGCTTAAGAAAACAACAATGTTTCAAATGTATTCTATCTGACATTTAAACTTTACTGAAGATTAATTTAATGCTATGTAAAGATCCCTTATTGTAAAAGTAGGCCTATGTAGCCAAACACAAGTCAGTCTTTAAACTTAAGGAAAGTTTTGGAAATAGAAAATTAAAATAATGATTTAAAAAAACTGATCCAGACTTCTACATATTCTTTTTTTATTTGTGCTTTCAGTGTAGAAACAAATTCTACAAACTAGAGCGCCATAAAAATGCTAAATATCTATTTAGAAATCAAATAGTTTTGTATTTTGTCCTTGTGTCAATCAACTCACTTAAACGCCTTTGAAAAATAGATCGTATACATAGATTTAATATTATAATACTGCTCTCAAAAACTTATAGAAATCAAATTATATATATATATATATATATATATATATATATATATATATATATATATATATATATATATATATATATATATGTAAATTATATATATATATATATATATATATATATATATATATATATATATATATATATATATATATATATATATATATATATATACATATATATATATATATATATATATATATATATATATATATATATATATATATATGTATATATATATACTATTTACCGCGCTTATGTGCACATTATTTGTGTACAATTAGTACATCTATTGTATTAAAAATTTTAAAGTACTGAAATAATTCTTAAAAAACGTTTAATTACCATTTTTGTAATGTAATTTAACAGTAATTATGCACTAAAATGGAGAAAATATATGATTTTCTGTAGTTCTAATCATATAAAAACTATTATTAAAAACAACTAAAAATAAAGTGTGGGTCGCTTCTTGAATTCAAGTGTCTGTACTCAATACATAATGTAACAACCCACTCATTTTTAAATTTTATTAGAGAGACAACTAAATACAAACATTACTATAGTCAAATTAAAAGGGGGATAACAAGAAATAAAATACTTACAATTTTTTTTTTTAAAAACCACGTTTTTCTTGTGGACTAAAAAGTAGAAAATAACTATTTACATACATTTGATGACAAAAAACGTGGGTACGTTCACCATCAAATTTCCCGACCCATCTGCCCGACCCACGTTTTTTGTCATCAAATGTATGTAAATAGTTATTTTCTACTTTTTAGTCCACAAGAAAAACGTGTTTTTTTAAAAAAAAAATTTTAAGTATTTTATTTTCTCCTTTTTAGTCCGTTGCTACACATGAAAAACGTGGTTTTTAAAAAAGTTTTTTATATAGTTTATTTTCTACTTTATCTAATGACTTGATTAAGTATGAATTGACTAAGTGTTTATAAATACACGGACTAAAAAAATCTTGAGCGACCAGGATTCGAACCTGGGTTGTCGCGGCCACAACGCGAAGTACTAACCACTATACGATCACGGCCAGCGCGCTCACATCGATTGGGGCCGAAGTAACTGTGTCAATAAGCCTCCCCTCCAGTCTTGTCGGTATCTTTAGAAATCATGTCCTCAATTTTATGGTCCTTGGGGCGTAACTAAATTAAGCTAATTACGGTCTCTAATTGCTAGTTTTTATGATTGCATCTGAAATTGTTAGGCGAAAGTAACCTGCATGCCAAATTTCAGATCTATAGAGCAATCAGAAGTGGGCTAATTTTCGATGTCAATTTTAACAACAAACACACAAACGCGAAGCTGAGTTAATAAAAACGTGTTAAAATACTAGTCAGCGATGGTTTGATCAGAGGGCCGTTGTGAGTGAACTGTCACTTCACGGTAGGATGATTTACGAGGCGCGTTGGCTAAGAGAGAAAAAAGGGGTTAACTATCTTTTAGAGATCACAAGCTACTGAGAAAGGGTTTTAAAGCAAATATTTTTAGTCCTAGTTGAGTTGTAGTCTCATCCACGACGAATGTTAGAGCCCAGTGAAGTTAGTAAATGCTATTAGGGGCAGGTAATAAGATAATACACTATTTCAAAACTAAGGGGAGGTAAAATGACTAAGAACTAGCCATTGCTTTCAGAGATCGCGAGATACTGATTGTGTTTTAAAGCAAATACTTTTTAGTAGTAGCCTTATGGATTACGGAAATGAAGAAATATTTATTTTTTATTTTTCTAATAACAAGCTTTTAAATAAAAATAAGAAAATAAAAATAATTCACAAATCACACCAAAAAAGTAAATTAAAAAGCCAGGAATGAAAAAAAAAAATGCAGTAAAAAGGAAAAATGAGTTTACTCTAACTTTATTAAAGTTATATGCGGGTAAGACATAATAAAAGCCTAGGCGGCTACATTTTTAAAA